GTGTGCTTCAGCCACATGTTGTGGATTGTAAAATGACACAGATAGTAAGTGCTTGACTGAATTATTCCACGAAGACCTTGTTGAACTGAAATCTTCAGGACGAGCGGACAATTCATTAGTTCTGTTTTCATTTTGATCAAAACACGTAGCTGCAGGAAACACGTGCAAGAAACATACAGAGCTGGCACAGTGCAGAGCTCTAATGTGCACCTATCATTGCACCAACCCTGGATTGGCCACAGGCAGAAATCATACTACATCACTCAGTACAAAACGTATATACAGAGTACACACATTTCTGTAAGATCATTGTATTAATGTAGTCCTAATTTGCTGTAATTAGTGCCATGTAGTCAGGTAGGGAGAAGACCAGCTGACCAAAATGGACATAAAGTATAAGACTTTAATTTCCTTGCTGATGTAATTATGTTTTGAATGCACAATGATATTGAATTATCCGAAATGGCATGTGCATTACCATGCTAGTGATGTAATATTCAAAAGGTAAAGGTTTTTCTAGTTAAGGGTGTGTATGAGATCATCCCAGAATAATATTACATGAAGCATCAGCTAAATCCATGTAATGTAATATAATGTAGGCCTAATTAGCTACTAATTAAGTAACTATTAACTTTTATATGGTGCTCATCCCATATGGGCTTACAAGACACTTAAGCAACATCAGCCAGGCCACATAACGAATAATGATAATATACAGTTCAGAAAAATGTCATAAGATTCAATGTCCTTGACCAAAATGTCTAATTATGTCTTAATTGCCATGCATTTTGTATATTTCTTAATAAACAAAAATCTCCTCAACTCAACNNAGACAACTAAAACAAATCAGGGTTTAAAAACATCCACGTCTTTTTCTGTGAGATGTCCAGGATTTCTGGCCAACTGAGCTGCACTCCAGTGGACATTAGTAGTTTAAACCCATTTTCTAACTTTACTTGACATGTCCGTTAAACAACAGACATACTAATGTATACCCAACCATAGAAGGGCTAACTTTGCCGATGTACTTGGTGAACTATCCTTTTATTATCTTCCTAATTTGAATTGTTTATTCTAGTACACAGGCTGTGGTAAAACATGCTATCTGTCCCCAATCTACACAGCCACCACACTTCTTTGTCACAGCACCAGAAACAGCTGGTTCAACAACATTCCTCCAACAAGTAGCTTGTAATCAGTGTTAACTACAGTGAATTCAGTGGTTCTCATTTTTATGATGTATTGCCGGTGAGCTGCCCTGTTTCATCACGTCTGTACTAAATATACAATTCTCTCTCATCTTGCAGTCGGCCATTTTCAACTTCCAGTCCCTGCTAACTGTGATTCTCCTCCTGATCTGTACCTGTGCCTACATCAGAGCGCTGGCTCCCAGCCTGCTGGACAAGAACAAGACTGGGTATGATCAGATACTATTGAAGTCTTTCCAGTGATAAATTGACCCCTCAAATACCTGTCTTTGTCTCGTTGAATGGGACACAATGTCATACCAAACTTACTACATTCATTCATTCATTCATT